CTATTTATAAATCTGGTCAAAGGAGTGAATGTCAACTAATGAGTGAACCAATATAAGTCATGGACGTGGGGTGAGACGTGGGCGAGACGTGTGATTGGGTGAGACGTGGGCGAATACGTGGGAGTATAGGCGTGGGTGGTACACGACAAGATGACGGCGAGGGCGTGAGCAGGTGTCGTTGGTGGCGCCGACCGGTTAGCTGGAGAAAGGATTTATGTGCAGGGTAACCGGAGCTTCCCTGGCCGCAACTCTTCCGGCGGTAGCGACCATCACGCCTGGCTTACGACCCTCACATACTGCCTCTGTCACGTGTGACCTGGGAGCACCTCACGACTCCCTTCAAACTCAAAGGGTCCCTCCACACATACACACTCCAGAGCTCACACACACACATATACTGTACACACACACACATATACTGTACACACACCAGTATGCCTAGGCTTCAGTTAAACAAAACAAAATCGAGTGCCAATGGAAATCTCTAATGGCGCTTTAGAAATCCGTCTGAAACTCCTCATAAAATATAAAAATGCAAGCTTCTCCAAACACCACCCAGGTTCAACGCCGGACTCGAAAATAATATTTAAGAACAGGTGTCCGGGTTAAGGAGCCGTGTTAGAAAACTTTTCAATGGAAGAAAATTTCTTCATTTTATCAAGAACATCCCAAAAATGAAGGAAATAAATTTGGGCCAAACAAAAAGATCATTAAAAACCTAACCTAACGACTTTCAAATACCATAACTGTATACATACCTAATCTATCCTAACCAGAGAAAGTCAACCTCCAAGCCGCCCCCTGGACCCCCTTGTGTGTAAACCAAACATATGACAAAAGAAAGAATAAAGGAGCCTCAACAACCAAACCTGAAATCGAAAAGTCAGATAAACTCGAAAAATATAAATATCCAACGAAAACACTATAGACTATTAGGTAAAGTTTTAGTTTCGGTCATCCGGGAAATCTTAGGAATTTAACTATTGGAATCAATAGTTTGGACAATTCTAAGACACCTTTCCGCTATGATCTGACCTAACCCCCACAGGCATATGTAAGTCGTTTGCGAGTAAAACGTCACAGAAGAAAGGTGTCTCAGAATTGTCCAAACTATTGATTCCAATAGTTAAATTCCTAATATTTCCCGGATGACCGAAACTAAAATAATAGGGAACATTCTTATTTTATTATGCTTTATTTCCTATATACAAATCAATAGAGTTCCGTGGTTGACCTTTCATGATATAGAGCATAATTTTTTCACGTCACTAGTCTCAGTAAATGTCAATATTTTGCTGTTCCAATGCCTGTTTATATCACTCTCATCATTTTCAGCCTCATTTCTTTTATAAAATTTTCTGTCTACTCATTCCTGCGTGTGCATGTTATTTACTACTACCTTAGAACAACTGTAGTTATTTATACAATATTGATGTATTACTATAGGGCCCACAATCTGAATTTGTTAGTACTGTAATTACCTAACTAATGATATGATAATCATGTCAACAGGTCTTTACAACTTGTGAAATAAATTACAAATACAATCAAGTGCTTAATTATGATGGGACGCTCACAGGATAATGTTCTTAACTATTATCTATATAACACTGATGGATTAAGGTCTCGGCTATTACCACTACCACTCGCAACATGTGGCTAGATAGTTAGGGGTAAAATCATATTAACATTTACAAAACTCACCTGTCAATATACTTCCTTGTTTTGGCTTTCATCTTTTTTCCAGCGGGTTCGAAATTGGTGTCGTTTTTCTTTCGACGTCTGCATATGGGTTGGGTTAGGTGACGTCCACCACTTGTTTGTCTTGCATGTGATCGACGCACCATCTGACTTCTTTGGGTTTATGACACTATTTTCGATCACTAAACTAGCTAACAAGGAGTGATGTCCAGGGCTGTCGTAATTCCGACTGTGTTTTACCAAACGCTCTGATTGGTTCTCTTCCTCGCGTTGTGATTGGTTACGACCATGACGTCATAAAACGTTTTCTTTGTTAAATGTAATACATATATAAGATATCAGTAGCACTTCATTTATTGTTTACAATTATATATGCAAGTAAATCACTATCGGGGCGCGTGATCCAGGTATATGCTGATAACTCTAGTATGAAATATTGCACAATAGATTCCTTAAACAACTTTAAAATCGGGTGGAGCAGAATTATATTAAATATAAGAAATTAAAAAGAGTTCAAGAAGTAGAAAATGGAGTGATACCACGGGTGAATATCATAGAAAATGCACCGTTAAAAAGGATAAATAACTATTGTAATACATATAATTTTAAAATGTCTGATAAAATAAAATCAAATAAAAAACTAAGAGTAAAGGACTCACCGAAAGTCGATGTATAACGGCGTGTAGATACTTTTGACAAAGGCTCTACAGTGAAAGTCGTATGAAAGGCACTGAACTCAAGGCGGATCCAGCGGGGGGACCTCCCCCCCCATTTTTCATCGGAAAACTCCAATACTTTTTCCTTATTGCAGTATTGTACTCAGGCATTTTTGCATAGTAAAAATAAATTATTAATGACCTCAGAATATTTCCTAATATCAAGTGCACATAGCTTCAAAATGGCCTCAAAATGCCCATGATATTGGTCAGATTAAAAAAAAAAATTCTGGGGGCTTACAGCTACCCCAATTCCCCCCCCCCCCGATGGCTCGCTTTGCTGGCCAGGATCCCCCACCCAATACTTCTTGGACCCTCCCCATTTTGATATCCCTGGATCCGCAGGGTGAATCTATGAGCAAGATCCATTACGCCATTTGCCTGTCTACCCAGCAGTAATTGGGGACCTGAACGTTTATCGATTTGCGGATCGTCTTCCGGGGTAATAGTTACCAGTGCAGTAGGCGAGTTGTCCGGTCTTTTCAGACTATTCCTTGACACTGGGTCATACAACTCGTTAAATTAGGGTGTGGTTGTTGTATTGGCGACAGATTCTACACCTTAAACAAATTCACGCCTAGATGGCCCTTGGGCCGGCCATCCTCGTTAACATGAGGGGCAACCATTATTAGGTGTGTGTAAACGGGACTGACCAGTAAGGGCCAATAGGCCCGCTTCAGTTTCCTCCATTCTTATGTTCTTAACTTCTCCCAGACTGCCAATAAAAATGTGGATGATCCCCCGATGATGGTGATCTGTTCTCTATAAACCATGAAAATCCCTTAGGAAATTTTTCTGTAACTCCAAGAAACCTTACACCGAGGAAGGGTTTGGCCAGGCCGAGAGAAAGGTTAGCTAGGCTGAGGGAGAGTATTACAAGCGTTAGTGTCTAATCTTCAGGGGAATTAAGCTGAGGTGATAATCTTCAAGAGAATTAAGCTGGGGTGTCTAATCTTCAGGGAAATTAAGCTGAGGTGATAATCTTCAAGAGAATTAAGCTGGGGTGTCTAATCTTCAGGTGATCTAGTGTGTTTAGCCTTGTGGTAGGAGTGACGAGTCTTGAGGGAGCGGGTGGTGGGGGGTCAGGGGTTAACCAGTGCGGGTGGCAGAGGTCAGCTAGGGGCGGGCAGGTCACAGGGGTCAGGAAAGGGAGCGTGCCACGCCTCCTCCGCTACTGTCTTAATGTGAGGTATTGTCTCTATTGTTGCCTGGTAACATTATTTAGTTACGAGTACATTACCTATTTTTTTTTACTTATTATTTTTATCACTTATTTATACTTATTATTATTATTATTATTATTATTATATAATTATTATCAACGATATTATTATTAAAGTTATTGTTGTTGTTATTATTATCAGTAGTTGTAATAGAAGTAGTCAAGTAACTGTAAATCAGTTGCAGATTCATCATTACAATAAGTAAAAACTTGGTTAAATTAAATAGTAATAAAACACAATATCTACCAATTACACTTTCCAAATTAGATGATTTCCCACCAATCACATTTGAGGACGCTATAATTCTGCCAAATTCTAAAATAGATATGCCAGGCCTCACCATTTCCTCTAATATGTCATGGAAGCCACACATCCTCAACATTGCAAAAGCTGCCTTCCGAAAACTGGGAATGCTGTACAGATACCGTAGCTACTTTACTCCTGAGCAGTTGCTCCAAGTATATAAGGAATTCATTCGTCCTAACATGGAGTACTGCTCTCATATCTGGGGTGGCTCTTCTTCTGTCCAACTGTTAGATAGGGTGGAATCAAAAGCATGTCGTCTTATTAACTCTCCTCCTTTAGTTGATAATCTCTCTTTTCTTTCACTTAGCCGCAATGTTGACTCACTCTCCTCTTTACAGGTACTTTAACGGGCAATGTTCGGTGGATTTGGCATCCTGTGTACCACCGGCAAGGCCGTGGGCTCGTAACACTCGTCTTGCCCACAGTGCCCACTGTTTCTCTGTGGCTGTCGGTCACACTAGAATAACCCGTTATAATACCTCCTTCTTTCCAAACACAGCCAAGCTGTGGAATGCTCTGCCTTCTTTTGTGTTTCCATACTCATACAATCTGTCTCACTTCAAAAAGCTGGTTTTCCGGCATCTTCGTAAATTAGATTAATATAATATTTTTCTTTTCTATTTTTAATTATTTTTACTCTTATTTTTTCGCCCCCGAGGCCCCCCTGTGGGTCGATGACCTGTGCCCCTCCACAGGTCTTAACCCGGCCCACATCTAACCTCCATAACGTTCAAGAGAAAATTCCTACATGGGACATAACAGACCAAAATATCTAAGGAAAAAAAAACCTAAAGCGACCCGATAAATGTAACACAGCCAGTAGGCCCATGGCGAACCATCCTCCCACGCACCCAGCACCACCCGCCTCTACACCCGCTCCTCCAAGGTCGACGATCCTCCACAGTACGGTGTGTAAGTCGCCTCTAGTGACCCCCGTCGGTTATTACCTCCGTGTCCTCCGTCACCATCTTCAATTCAGGTACCAACCCTTTCACACAGGCCACTACTGACTGGGATTAGGCAAGGGGGATGGTTCAGGGATTCTGGGGATGGTTCAGGGATTCTGGGGATGGTACTGGGATACTGGGGATGGTACTGGGATACTGGGGATGGTACTGGGACACTGGGGATGGTACTGGGATACTGGGGATGGTACTGGAATACTGGGGATGGTACTGGAATACTGGGATACTGGGGATGGTACTGGGGTGCTGGGGATGGTACTGGGATACTGGAATGCTGGGAATGGTACTGGAATACTGGGGATGGTACTGGGGTGCTGGAGATGGTACTGGGATACTGGGGATGGTTCAGGGATACTGGAATACTGGGAATGGTACTGGGATACTGGGGGATGGTACTGGGTGCTGGGGATGGTACTGGAATACTGGGGATGGTACTGGAATACTGGAAATGGTGCTGGGATACTGGGGATGGTACTAGGGTGCTGGGGATGGTACTGGGGTGCTGGGATGGTACTGGGATACTGGGGATGGTACTGGAATACTGGGGATGGTATGCTGGGGATGGTACTGGGGTGCTGGGGATGGTACTGGGGTGCTGGGGGATGGTACTGGGATGGTTCAGGGATGCTGGAATACTGGGAATGGTACTGGAATGCTGGAATATGGTACTGGGGTGGTACTGGTACTGGGGATGGTACTAGGGTGCTGGGGATGGTACTGGGGTTCAGGATACTGGAATACTGGAATGGTACTGGAATACTGGGGATGGTACTAGGGTGCTGGGGATGGTACTGGGGTGCTGGGGATGGTACTGGGTGCTGGGGATGGTACTGGGGTGCTGGGGATGGTTCAGGATACTGGAATACTGGAATGTGCTGGAATACTGGGAATGGTACTGGAATACTGGGGATGGTACTGGAATACTGGGAATGGTACTGGAATACTGGGGATGGTACTAGGGTGCTGGGGATGGTACTGGAATACTGGGGATGGTTCAGGGACTGGAATACTGGGAATGGTACTGGAATACTGGGGATGGTACTGGGGTGCTGGGGTACTGGGGTGCTGGGGATGGTACTGGAATACTGGGGATGGTACTAGGGTGCTGGGGATGGTACTGGGGTGCTGGGGATGGTACTGGGATACTGGGGATGGTACTGGGATACTGGGATGGTTCAGGGATACTGGAATACTGGGAATGGTACTGGAATACTGGGGATGGTACTAGGGTGCTGGGGATGGCACTGGAATACTGGGGATGGTACTAGGGTGCTGGGGATGGTACTGGGGTGCTGGGGATGGTACTGGGGTGCTGGGGATGCGGGGTGCTGGGGATGGTTCAGGGATACTGGAATACTGGGAATGGTACTGGAATACTGGGGATGGTACTACTGGGGTGCTGGGGATGGGTACTGGGGTGCTGGGGATGGTACTAGGGTGCTGGGGATGGTACTGGGGTGCTGGGGATGGTACTGGGGTGCTGGGGATGGTTCTAGCGTACTTAAGGGATGGTATTGGGATGACCAAGGAGTGGTTTTGGCGTGGTTGATTGTGTTGCATAAGAACATAAGAATGGAGGAAACTGCAGCGTGCCTATTGGTCCATACTAGGCAGTCCCGTTTACACCCAACCCCTATTGCTCATATATCCATCCAACTTATGTTTGAAGCTATTCATCGTATTCGAGTTAATGATGATGTTTGGTAACTAGTTCCACTCATCCACTACTCTATTTCCAAACCAATGTTTACCTATTTCGCGCCTAAATCTAAATTTGTCTAATTCAAAACCATTGGTACGAGGCCGCTCCTGGTTGGATAGTTTGAGTACCTTTATTATATCACCCTTACTCCCATTTATACACCTTGATCATATCGCCCCTCACTCTACGTCTCTCGAGGGAGTGCAAATTAAGATGCTTTAACCTGTCTCTGTACTCAAGGTTCCTAATGCCCGGGATTAGTCTGGTCATCCTCCTCTAAATACTTTCTAGTGATTCTATATCCGTTCTGTAGTACGGTGACCAGAACTGAACCGCGTAATCCAAGTGCACAAGAGCAAGATATAGATTTAGGATGACCTCGCTAGCCTTATAACTAACACTCCTTTGTATGAACCCAAGTACTTTCTTAGCCTTGTTACGAGCAAATACACATTGTTGACTTGGTTTAAGATTCGTGTTTATTATTACTCCAAAATCTTTTTCACAATCGGATTTCTCTGTAACAACAATGTACACACACACATGTACACGCATTAACACCACGTATATATACTGCATAGGCGTCAACACAAACCCTGTACATAGTGTATAATATCATATCTCTGCACGTGCCTCTGTGTGTGTGTGTGTGTGTGTGTACAATCAAAGACAAAAATCGTGTCGCGGTTTTGTACGAAGGTTAAATATAACTCGTGAAACATTGTGAGAGCCCTACCACAAGGCAGAGCGCACCAAAAGTTTGGCCCTTTGGCACATGTTTTCACCAAATTTCACGGCACGACGTTTGTCTTTCAGTGTACATTGTACCAATGAAATAATATTAATAATAATATAAAAATAATAATATTAATTAAAAAATACATCAGTCTATACACGTCCATACAGCACTCTAGCCCTGACCACCTGTGAACCACCACCTCCTGACCACCTGTGAACCACCACCTCCTGACCACCTGTGAACCACCGCCTCCTGACCACCTGTGAACCACCACCTCCTGACCACCTGTGAACCACCACCTCCTGACCACCTGTGAACCACCGCCTCCTGACCACCTATGAACCACCGCCTCCTGACCACCTGTGAACCACCGCCTCCTGACCACCTGTGAACCACCGCCTCCTGACCACCTGTGAACCACCGCCTCCTGACCACCTGTGAACCACCACCTCCTGACCACCTGTGAACCACCACCTCCTGACCACCTGTGAACCACCACCTCCTGACCACCTGTGACCCACCGTCTCCTGACCACCTGAGAACCAGTCACCTAACCATAATTAATAATGGTATAACTTTATGGTGACAGTTCAAAAGTGTAACAAATAATGTGACAATGATCGAAAATTTCTACTCTCAAACCACTCTGGTGACGAGTGAAGAGTAATACAGGTGAGAACTATTACAGGTAACTACTTTGGTGTTAAGAGAAAATTTAATCTATAAATAACTACTTTGATGACTTGTGAACAATAATATAGGTGAATATTTTGGTAATGAGTAGAAAATATTAAAGGTAACTACTTCAGTAATGAGAGGAAGATAACAATCTTTATGGTGAGGACAGGTGAGAGCTTACCTTGATGTAGGGCCACGGAGGGTGATGACCAGAGCAGTGTCAACTATGTTTGTCAGAATCAAGAGTCACCGTGAGTTACTCCGTCACTCACATGTTAAAAGTTCACACTGGAGATACTAACACTACCAACTGTCACTAGTGGTTGTGGTCCAGGGGGCGTGGAACGTGGGAGACGTGGGGCGGCCAGGTGAGGGTCTGGGGTGATGTGGGCGAGCCCCTCCCAGGTACCATGAGGTAGGAGGGGGTCTGACACAGCTCGGCCACGCCTCACGCTGCTAGTGTCACACAGATTTATGGCCCTTCACCCTGTTTACTTCGTGAATCTGTTTACGTCACTTGTCCTCCGGCAGGTTCTGGGCAGCTCTACAGGGTTTATGGTCTATGGTCAGTGCGGCGGGTGATCTGCGTCTCCTCTAATGACTGGCAGACACTGCCGACTCGCTCCCCTCACAAGGGCAACTGTCAAGGAGAAACACACATTCACACTGTTGCTGTGTTGTTCTTCTCAATGTCAGCCTCGTGACACTACCCGCCAACACTACTTCACCAACACTAACGAACAAGACAACTGTCACACACACACAACATCTCCACACGTCTCCAGCAGGAGGTGTCCAGCACGCCGTGAGCGTCGTGGTGTTGTACTCCAACACTCACCCTCCTCACCGTTAAGGCTCGGGAGATCAACTGAATTTGTCCATTTCTCTCACAGTCATCGGCAGCCTGGCCTATGTGTGGATGTGCGGCGCCACCCACACCCTGCACCCTCACACACACCAAACACACTTAATACATACACACACAAACACTCTTACATTTTATCTAAATAAGATGAGGTATTAGACTACTGACAACACTAATTAGGTTTTAACTAAGTAACGTGTTGTTAGGAAACGCATTAACGTGGGCAATGAAGGAAGACCAGGCCGGGGCCAAGCGAGGGATCCTGGACGAGTCGGGGGTGTTCGGGCAGGGCGGGGGTGGTAACAATGCCCAACTCCCCAAAATTCTCACACTAATCTTGCCAGTCAAACCCTTGCAGCCGGACAGGGACATCCTAGGAGGCTTATCCGGCCGTGATGGGGCCTGATGCATATGGCCCCTCCATCCCCAAGGCTGAAGACTCAGAGTGTATGCCCCACCAGGTCCAGCATCCCTCCTTCAGACCCTGGCCGAGCTGGAGTTATTATGGAATGGTGAATACATGTAACAGCAACGCACGGGTTACTGATGTTGATTGTAACAATGTTTCGTTATAGCGCCACATTGTCAGCGACACAGCTCATGTTGCTTCACTTACCTTCATCCACCCCCCCCCCCCAAAAAAAAAAAATAAAGAGGAACATCTAATCCATTTGATGATGGTGATGACAGTGAATCACTAAATGCAATAAAGTATTACGTCTTTCATAACAAGATGAGCGGAGCTCCCGCCAACCAACACTCATAAGGTTGTCTCTAGTCTCCTGTTACTTCAATATGAAAATATTTTCTCAAATTTGATTTTAAATCACGATAAATGGACTTTAATTCTGTTTAAAATACACCAAATTACAAACAGTAAAATTCAAACAACATATACAGGTAGATCAAAGATTTCGTGTTTTATAAAGACCTGGTCCAAATACGAAAAGAAATAGATTAAAGAATGAATAAAAAACAATTTTAAATAAAAAAACGTATAAATGTGATGCAACTAATATAAATTTACTCACACCTTGTAACAAGTGGTAATTTAGATGACATAAAACATTATATAATAATAGTTACCTCGAGATAAATATACAGTATATTAGGTACCACCAACACTGTCTCCATGCTCTTAATAAACACAGCCATGTTAATAATTATTATTATGGATAATGTTTACTTAATATCAGTGTTTCTTCTGATTAAATAAACTGTTTAACTTTTAACTTCCCATACACACTCGTCTACCTCCACACCATCAAGGAAATCTTCCCCCTCTCGGTGTAGTTCCTGCACGGTAGATAACAGACAACACCGAACCAATGATCATCGACAAGATACTAAGCTTGTACCGTCACTTCCACAGACGACGTGGTTGATAAGCTTCCGGTTCTGAGATGGTTTATATGTTTATTTGTCTTATAACATATATTTTCTTCTCGGAACAAGGCTATCATCAGTTTGAAATAAGTTAACCATAAGCCTGGAATACATGTGAGGCTATCCGTTTGTGCCTCATATTGAACACAAGATACTTCTATACATGCTTTCTGCCAAGTGGTGTGTGTGTGTGTGAGGGATCATGGCTTAATGGTATTGGGTGTGGAACATTTATCTAAAAAAATCTGGAAGATTTCGAGGACTGGAACACAGAACAGAGGCGGTAACAGAGAGGCCAAGGTATGACTCTCATTTTAGGGTTAATGAACAAAGAGATTTTAAGTAAATAGTCCGTCTTTGGAGAGAGTTGGCGTGTAGACAGTGTGAGGAGATGTAGACAGTGTGAGGAGATGTAGACAGTGTGAGGGGCGTGTAGACAGTGTGAGGTGGTGTAGGCAGTGTGAGGGGCGTGTAGGCAGTGTGAGGTGGCGTAGACAGTGTGAGATGTAGACAGTGTGAGGGGTGTGTAGGCAGTGTGAGGTGGTGTAGACAGTATGAGAGGCGTGCAGACAGTGTGAGGTGGTGTAGGCAGTGTGAGGTAGTGTAGGCAGTGTGAGAGGCGTGCAGACAGTGTGAGGTGGTGTAGGCAGTGTGAGAGGGGTGTAGACAGTGTGAAGGGGAGCAGACAGTGCAAGGAGTGGTGCAGACAGCGTGAGAGAGGTGCAGTCAGTGGCAGAGTGGTGTAGACAGTTTGAGGGTGGTGTAGGCAGTGCGAAAGGGTGTAAACTGAGTCAGGACGTGTAGACAGTGTGAGGGAGGTTGTAAACAGAATGGGGGGGTGTAGAGGGGGGTGTAGAGTGGCCAGGACAAACTGATGAATATTTAACATAAAGGGGCGAAATATGTCCTCTCGTCCAGTTACTTACCCTCTCACACCTGTCGCCTCGGCAGGTGTTTATCTCTTTAATTTCGCTTTTTTTTCATATTAGAGTTTTTTTTTTATGGTTCGTGGACTTGGACAGGTGCATAATTATGGGGTGTGCTGATGTTGTGTCTGTCGGAGTATGATGAGGATATGGAGTTGCTATATGGTTACTGCGGGGTCTGTGTAAGGTAGTGGAATAATGGTTCTCGCGCTCGCACACACACACACACACACACACACACACACGTACACACGTTAAGACGGGGGTGTCATCTGAATCTAAGATAGCGTTCACCCACTCTCTCATCTGACAGGCAATCAACACCCTGGAAAGAGGTACTCCACCATCACCACCACCTCTCGCGATACGACTTGAAACCCCTGGCCGAGCGGATACAGCGCCCGCTTACTATCCTAGAGGTCGCTGGTTCACGCCCGATCCACCCAACTACGAATGTTTACCCAACGAAAGTCGAGTGCATGCAATGGCGATTTTAGGTGTAGCATTCAGTGTACTGTATCCTTACCGCCACTACCATTAAATCTGCCCGCGGATCTGTTTACTGGGGCGGAGAGAAATAGTGTTACGATGGCAGTCAATCCCTAAAAAAAAAAAAAAAAAAAAATTTTAGGGGCCAAGTTCCCACAAAAACAAGAATTTTATAGGCCTAAGAAGGATAGTCGACAATGGCGCTGGTCACCATCACCAGTGGGAGACCTTCACAGCCGCACCATAATAAACTTCCATTATGGCGTCGTGGCCGATAGTACTTAACGGCTTAGCAAATATAACCCAACTTGTGTTTTATATTCATGGGAATAACATCACCTAAAGTACCTTATTGTATACAAAATTAAACACATTTTGTATACACCCTTTTACAGTTGGTCTCATCATTAACATACGTGTTTTTATTCACTTTAGTTTAGAGGGACTTTTACAGCATGGCGGAGGTGAGGAAAGATATCAGCACGTGCTCCCATTATCCTCGCTTTCATTCATTCTGTTCTAAAAGGTGTGTTGTGCTAAGGTGCTCTCGTTCCACTACAAGACAATAATAATGATAATAATAATAATAATAATAATAATAATAATAATAATAATAATAATAATAATAATAATAATAATAATAATAACAATAATAATAATAATAATAATAATAATAATAACAATAATAATAATAATAATAATAATAATAATAATAATAATAATAATAACACAGTAATAATGATCCTTGTATCCAGAATGAAGCATTAGCAGTTTTTGCCATGTATAAATCAGTCACAATATCTGAAAGGTCTAGTAGCGTCCCAATAAAATTCAAAAACTACTGCGCCGACAACATGCTCCTTTTGAAAACAATGAATGCTAAGTGGGATCCTGTATGTGCCTCTGACAACCCTATGTGAGCTGCTGCAACTTCTCTTGCAAATTCAATGCTTGCTTTCATAATATAAATGCTTCCCCCTCAAGACTAAGTCAGTGAAAACTGTATATATTTCCAAACCCTATATTACGAGTGAAATCAAGGCAATGATAAAAGAAAAACACAAACTCCAAAGGAAATTTTGCAAAAGACCCTTAACTTTCGGTGATGCTTACCGAAGTATCAGAAATAGAGTAACTCGGACAGTTAGAAATGCCACACGTAGCTATTATATAGGTAAGCTTCAGTCAGCAACAGGCATCAGTAAGAAAACCTGAAATATCATGAATTCTATTCAGAACAGGAACACCCATCCTTCGCCCCCTCCCCCCCCCCACTCAGCGTTTATGATTTATGATTCTTTTTGTTACCGGAACCTTCCCTCATTACCAACCACTTCAATGAGTATTTTATCAATGTTGGTAAAAATGTCCAAAGATGCAGCAGCAGGCGAAGACAATATACCAATTAGCATCTATTAAGAAAGTAGCCCACTTATTAATACCTGTTTTCCTACACATTTGTAACTCCTCCTTCACTAGTGGTGTCTTTCCTGATAAACTGAAAATTGCTAAAGTTCACCCAGCGCATAAAAAATCTGGGAACAAAGGTCTTTTCTAGAATTACCGCCCCAATATCAGTCCTCCCAGCCTTAAGTACAATACTGGAGAAACTAGCATGTAGTAGACTAAATTCCTTCTGCAGTGTCAATAACATCCTTACAGACTCTCAGTTTGGATTTTGAGTTAGAAGGTCGACTGAGAGTGCTCTGCTATCCTTTACTAATGACATCTTAAACTCCTTTGATGAGAGTTAGTTCACAGTCGGTATATTCCTGGACCTCTCTAAAGCCTTTGATACTGTCGACCACACCATCCTCCTTTCAAAGCTTGAACATTACGGCGTTAGGGGCTCATCCCACAATTGGGTTACCTCATATCTGCATGGCGTCCCCCAAGGCTCCATTCTCGGTCCTGTACTGTTTTAGTTGTACACGATCTTTCACAGAAGGAAAAATTTACCCCCGGATTTGGACCCCCTGTACTTGAGTAATATAGTCCTTAAACGTGAACAAAATATTAAATTCATTGGGGTAATTGTTGATGAGAAACTTAGCTGGAGAAACCACATACAAGCAGTTCACAGTAACATCAATAAACAGTCACTCACTCTTACAGCAATGAATGAAATCTGTTATGATCTTCTTTACCAACACCTGATACACTGTCACACACTATGGGGGGCCTCTGGCTCTTCAAAAACATTACTGCACAAAGTAGAGTTGTGCGGACAATGACCTACTTAAAAAAATGATCACACTAACGAACAATTTGCTTAATTGAAAATGTTAAAATTTGAGGATATTAACACCTACTGCTGTGCCCTATTTGTTTACAAATCTGTCAATCACTTGCTTGACAATAATTATTTCCAGTTCCGGAATAATCAAAGATACAACTTAAGACACCCAAACCTACTAAGACCACTCCCCCACCCCCCATGGTGTGAAGGTGTGGAACAACTTACCCCCACCCATCCGACCAAAGACTACGCTCCCTTCCATTAAATCATCCCCTAAAAAATATCTATTGTCCAAGTATTAATATTTGTTTTAATACCTACTTTATTTCCCTGCCTTTATTGTACCACCAAACCGTTTTATCAGAAATTAT